AGAATAGAAAATGTCCGGAAAAGGAGATAACAATGATCACCACAAACGGGGGGTATTGTCGGGTAATTCGTCGGGTAATGTCCTGCGGGGTAATTGTCGGAGAGAATGTCGGGGTGATATTGTCAAGGGGGTGAAATGCTCCGGGGGGGTATTGTCGGGGGTAAATTTCCGGGGGGGGTATTGTCGGGGATAATGTACCGTGGCTGGTGATTGTCCGGGGGTAATGTCGGGGCGTAATTGTCCGGGGGGTACATTGTCCTGGGGAAATGGGCCGGCATGATAATTGTCCGGGAGTAATTATGTCCGCTGTGCGAATTAGCTCCGGGGGTAATGTTACCGGGGGTAATTGTCCAGGGGTTATTGTCATGAGTAAATGTCGCGGGGCGGGGGTATTTGTCGGGGGGTTAGATGGCATGGGGGTATATGTCCGGGGTGTGATTGTCCGGCGGGTATTTGTCCGGGGGTGTTGGTCCGGGGGGTAATTTGTCCGGGGTAATTGTCCGAGGGGAGTGCATTGTCGGGTGGGTATTTGTCCCTAGAACTTAAGTTATATGGCAGAACTAAAATTGCCTCGTCAACATAGTCATGCATGCTGTGTTTTTCTGTGAGAGTACGTAAAAATTTACGAAATAACGATATATTGTTATAGGCAAATGAAATTCCGCTCGCTATTGACGCGTGACTGGATGCCTACTACTCTGTTCGTTACATTCGCTGTCCTCTCGTCCACGCTTGCTGCTCTTCCGGTTTCATTAATTTGCATAATTAGCGCGTTGTGCCAATTGACACAATAGCATCGATCTACCTCTTGTTATACTCGCTTTCTCGATTGATGTTGAGTGCGTGCGAGCGTGGCGTGCGTGTGGCGCGGCGCCGTGTTGTATGGTAGCGTTATTGCGCGTGCGTGCGTGAGTGTGTATTCTGTGCGGGTGTTTTGCTCTTGTTTGCGCTGATTTATTGCGTTAGAGATTTTGGATTGTGCGGAGAAGAGGACCTAGAAGAGGAGAGCTTTCTTGGTATTAGTCTAATACACATTGATAATGCTGATTCTACAGATCTAAGTATTAATAAATATCATTACTTATTATTTTGATTACACAGGTGATGAGTATGTTGGAAAATTATTTCAGTTTTATTTGATTATATTGATTCGTATGTGTGTCTTAACTCTTGGAAGTATCTAACTATCGGCGTGAAATCTTTAGTGTATCTAACTGTGTTATTTTAGATGTGGCATATTATAACATATTCTACCGGAAGTTGATTGTGATCATGAATGTTAAATTATCAAATTGAATTGATTTCTCACTTAGTTGCTTGATAAAATTTTGTTTAAACCTTAGTTATAACTTATCGGCGACAGAATTGTAGAAACCTCCGGTTTTTTATAAAAAATGCGACTTGGAAAACTAGATGCCCAACGTAATCGCCCAACATGGTTATCGCGTAATCACAACATGCGCTATCCTTATGTCTGTGTATTTATTTTAAGTTTGTCCATTATAGTCGAAGATCATAGTTATTTAGCGTCCACTAAGCTAATGATGCCTTTAGAACCTATGTACGGAATGAGTAAAAAGTGATCCATGAATACTCGACTCAGATTTAGTTTTGTAATATTTTGATTGATGTCTTAGTAGTCAATTATCCCCGGAATTTTGATAGACGCGTTGAGGCGCGCAATCATGTACCAGTTGACCGTAGGACATGTTTTGCGCGTCGCAGCTTCGACAAAAGTATCAAGCGCAGTAGTATGTATGTAGATTAGGAAATCCACTGGAGCGAAAACATGCGTCAGAGACCATAAACGTAATCATTCTTCGTAGCTCGAATAACATTTCGTTTGAAGTCTGTAAACGTTGAAGCCGAATTGCCGAGTTTCAGTCGCTGTTTTTTGATGATTACAATCATGGCTTTAGGTGGGTTTGCGAGCGAATTCCGGAACAAAAAAGCCAGCCGCGCTTTTTAGTCAGCTATGTTTAGGTTCCACATCGCGCAATCTACTTCTGTGATTTTATCGCGGATACTCGACTTGAGATCTCAAACGACATATCACGTTAAGATTCACAGGCTGCAGATTGCGAGCCGCAGTCGCACATAGCCGGGTCTTCTTTAACATCATCGAATAGAGGAATACAGATTATAGTGATAGCATCTGTCACTTTTCGCGACTACATAAAATCATTCACTAGAAATTCTGTACCAATAACAAACGACCATTATAGAATTCTTATATGCAACATGTAAAGAGACAATATAGGATTTGCTTAGCGACACTGGTGACAGTCTTTAGAATTCGTCATATAAGGGAGACGAGTAACAGTTTAGAAATTCGTTACATATTTAGGGCAGGGAACAGCAATCCTTAAGAATTCATATTTAAAGAAAACAGAAACGTATTCGAAGTCTTATCTAAAGACAGACACGGTGAGCACAGTTCTTAGAATTTTTATTAATTTATCAGGAAGCGTTAATGACAAATTTTCATTGATACGATTGATATCTATTCGAGAGAAGAGAGACGAGAGAGAGAGAGAGAGGAGAGAAGGGGAGAGGATAGGACGTCTTGAGAGAGAAGAACAGGGAACACTCTTAGAATTCGTTATGTAAAGAGAGACAAAGGAACCGTCTTAGAATTCGTTATACAAAGAGAGACAGTAGGGAACAGTCTCCGGAGTCTGTCCATAGGGAGAACATGGGAACTGTTCCAGGATTCTATATACGGAGACGGGGAGCAGCCTTAGAATTCATTATATATACGAAACCCAAGGGGACCGTCATTCAAGACAATGAAGGAGCAGTTATGGCAAGGACTAAACTGTTTGAAATTCATTGTGAGAAGCCATCAGGAGAAATTTGGCTCCCTGCTGGGGGTTTTGCTCCGGAGTCTGTCCATAGGGAGAACATGGGAACTGTTTCAGGATTCTATATACGGAGACGGGGAGCAGCCTTATAATTCATTATATATACGAAACCCAAGGGGACCGTCATTCAAGACAATGAAGGAGCAGTTATGGCAAGGACTGAACTGTTTGAAATTCTTTGTGAGAAGTCAGCAGGGGAAATTTGGCTCCCTGCTGACAGACTTTACTATTACTAGATGCTATTACTAGATTATATCCGGGTTAGCGTATTATTTATTATTATTCTGGTACTGTCATTAATCTTAAATCACGTACCCTATTATGTCTGCATGCGTGGGGATTATTCAAGGTCTCTTGCGGACAGCACAACTATTCAAATCTCGACTATTCTTCAAAATAGTGGCACGCAGACAAGCACACAAAAAGTGACAGGCGGACAATGTTAACTCAGCACAGTGTGTAAAACGCGGACTGAAGTCTCGGCTCGTAGTTATTAGTGTAACTTGTTTGCTTTCACTATATATGTAACTAATGGATACGTATTTCCCATCCGCTGAAGATGCATTAACATGAGATTCCATTAGTTCGCAAAGTGACAATTATGTATACATGATCTAATGCACACCTGCCACTAGAGTAATATAGGGAAGAATCAGAAAGGAGAAGTCAATGCGCATGCTGATTTAATAGGCGCCATTTTTAGCTCATCTGACATAGTCAGATGCAGCTTGTAGAATCGCATGATCGTGCGTCCGTCCGTGTGTCTCTGCGTCCGTGTGTCCGTCCGTGCGTGCGTCAACAGTTGGGCACAAATCTTAACCGCTCGACGTACGGTCACGATATTCGGCACATCGGGGGGGATCGTCAAAACGAGTTGGGATGTCGAAGCTGGGGGTCAAAGGTCAAAGGTCAAGAGGTGTAAAAGAAGGGGGAACATTCACTCCTTAACTTAAGGTCAATGGGCACAAGGCAGATTTTAGACATTTTCTGAGGACATGGTCTGACGGAGCGATTGAAAATTTTTTGTTTGCAGCGGCGACTATGCTTTTTATGGCTTTTATTGAATGGAGCATGGAATGTACTGTTGCTGAACATGAGAAGAGTAAGTGTCGGATCCTTTTTGAGCCCTGAAGAGTCGGGTTAAAATGGGATTGTTAGAAAGAATTTTGACATGGCGGGTTTGCTATAGATCTATCACATGCGATGATGTATGAGGCTACAATGCGCACAAGTGATTTCAAAGCCTAATTTGGTTGAAGAAGGTTTTATGCTCCTTAAATCGTTAATTTTCTATGGCAATATGTATTATCAGTATGTACATGTAACGTATGCACTGCGCATGGCCACTGCGAAAGTGCAATGTGGTGGCGGTACTGTGTAGTTTTTGCCTGCAGTTATTGTTAAGCAGGTGGAAGCTCTCCTATTGGGGCAGCCCTGTAGGCTTGCGTAGGTCATGGATATGTGTTCTATTTTGTCTGCAAATAGTTGTTGATCTAGTATCGATGGGAGCTTGATGTTTAATGCTGAAGACAGCTTAAACGTACGCGCGCATCTCGTGGCACTTTTTCCGATCCCAACGAAATTCCGTTGAGAAGGTTTCTGATACCATCCTGTGGCATTCACTGTTTCGGCGTGTAATGTGAACACATTTGGGCTAACACGGGTTAGTAGAATGGCCCACCTCCACCACAGAGTCACCGCAGTAGACGTTAGATGAGCGCTGTCGCTCCGCGGCACTTGTTTTGCTAGTATTGTATAGTTTTGTCAGTGTCAATGCTTAATTCGCAGGCCGAATAATACTTTTACCATAACTTGACCCATGTCGATACCATTGTTGACTCTACTCTGCTTCCTACGTTGCAGGCAACTGCTGGTTTCTGACTCCTGACTCCTGACTCCTTACTCCGCTCTGCTTGCTGCATTGCAGGCAACTGCTGGTTTCTGACTCCTGACTCTGACTCTGTCTCCGCTCTGCTTGCTGCATTGCAGGCAACTGCTGGTTTCTGACTCCTGACTCCTGACTTCTGAATCCTGACTCTGAAATCGCTCTGCTTCCTACGTTGCAGGGAACTGCTGGTTTCTGACTCCTGACTCCTGACTCCTGACTCTGACTCCGCTCTACTTCCTACGTTGCAGGGAACTGCTGGTTTCTGAGCGCGCTGGCCGTGCTCGCTGAGAGACCTGACCTCGTCGAGCGGGTCATGCTGACGCGGCAGGTCAACGCCGAGGGCGTCTATCAGGTGCGGCTGTGCGTCGACGGACGCTGGGTGACCGTGCTCGTGGACGACCTGCTGCCGTGCCATCAGCAGGGCTTCCTGCTCTACTCTCAGGTAGCAATAACAGTGTTGATGATAACTTAACGACTTTCATAGTTGCAGACTAAAAGTGTGTCTCTTTCATTTGTGGCTGTTCTTTGATATTATGATTGTGTATGTGAGCGCATTGATTTCGTTGTCAATCCACGTTTAGAAGACTTTTGTCTCTAATTGGACGATACTAGAAAAACAAATTCTCCGCGAGAATATTCGATAGCACAGAGATAATATAGGCCTAGATACTATAGCCTAGCCTATAGATATTTTTTAGGCCTATGGCATAAATATTAATTAGGCCTAAACGTAGACAGGTCTCTTTATAAATTTCTATGCTTGCTAACAACAATATATGAAAATGCTCCTGAAGCTTTGGTTTGGTCAAGTTCGACGAATGTATCATGTCGTGGGACACTGTTGTCTCTCTGCACAATGATATGCTAAAGCGCGCGTGATGTCTAAGAACTCCTAACATGTCTAGTGACTTAATTAGCGATTAAAACGCACCTAACGCACTCGTGAACGATAGAAACATGACTAATAGCGCCAACCGTAATATCGCTAACAACTAATGTCTAATATAACTACAACATCACTAACGACCGACCTGTGCTGCGTCCTGCAGGCAAAGAGGCGGCAGCTGTGGGTACCGCTCATTGAGAAAGCGCTGGCGAAGGTTCACGGATGCTACGAAGCCCTCATCTGTGGCCGCTCCATCGAAGGCTTGGCCACACTCACCGGCGCCCCCTGTGAGAGCTTACCACTGCAGCGTACGTGTTGGTCCGAGAGCCGAGATTTTCTTCCCCATTGCATTTCTTCACTCGTTGAAGCTACCCGTTTCTTTTTTTCCTCGTTTGATGCCTGTTTTCGTAGTAATTTTGAAACCTTCTCCTGATTTGCTGGCTGATGGGTAATGTCCACATGTGTATATTTGGTCTCGATTACCGTGTATGGTCAGCTATATCAACAATACATATATATATATACATATATATATATATATATATATATATATATATATATGTCCGTGAACATGTGTTTACAGATTTATATGCGTATACCAGTATAAATGCTCATGATATGAATTGTGACCTTTTTTTCACTTTGTGCAGACTCATGTATGTATTGCTTTGTAGCTGGTACTTGTTTCTGCTAGACATGGCTATGCCATTGATTTGAATGAACTAGACGAATAAGTAAATGCATTCTGCATTCTGTATTATGTTCTGATTTATACAAACATTTAGTAGTTTGCGAATTTTCACAAGGCTGCTCTTGGTATTTTCAGCTTCCACTATAAATCCAGGTGAAGAACCAATCGACAAAGATCTGATCTGGGCAAAGTTACTGAGTTCCAGGCATGCCGGGTATGTATATGCAATAAGATCACTCAGCTGGCAACATGTCCTTCTATGAAACCACAGTTTGGATAAGTTTTTCAATGAACAACATAAGCATGATTCTATACCTACCTGTATAATACAGGTATATCCTCATATACCTGGATAATACAGTCAAATACTATGGAGGTATACAAACCTGTGAGGCTTATTCTATCCTGAGCTAGCTGTCATTACTATGAGGCCGGCCCTTTGGGTAGCTGGTAACGTCAGATGATGTAGGGAATGCCATTATGTAGGCGTAACCCACGGTACCTCACGGTAAGCCACGGTACCTCACGGACCTCACGGTACCTCACGGTAAGCCGTGGGTACCTCACGGAGGTACCCACCGTACCTCATGTAAAGAGAAATACCCACCCACTGGGTGTATGCACAAGCATATATATTTCTATGTATAGAATACGTGTGTTCATGGTATATGCTGTATAGATGTGTGTGAGCACATTGGCAATTAATTAAAACCCTACTGTTTGAGTATTCTCCTTACTAAAAACCCTACCACTGGAGTACTGCCCTTACTAAAACCCTCACCCCCTGAGTATCCCCTCGATAAAAAGACCCGAGTATTTATTTTTCAGAAGATCCACTCCCACGATAAAAGTATTTACCTTTACTGAAATCCCTGCTTTTTGAAAGTTCCTGCAAAGTGAAATCCCAATACCCTCCAGTGCTGATAGCGAGACAGTTCAGACCTACATGGTTTGCTGTTAGAATGCACACACAAGCTTTTAGCAACTGAAAATAGAAAATCGCTAGTTTTTCTGTTGCAAGTTTCGCCCGTCAGCGGCTTTAGTCGAGAGTTTAAACTCGTGACAATGGTGGCGGCAGCACGTCGCTGTATAAAGGTCAGGAGACATTACCACAATGAGACAGAGTGCCGATGAAAACATTATCTACAGCTGTGATTGGCTATCTATTAAATGTCGCACGACTATGTCGCTGAAAATTAGAAATAATGTTAAATATTTTTGTACCAGTAGTAATTTCGGTTGTTCCCGACATTGCTTGTGTGTGTAACAGATCATTGGAAGAAAAAACATTCTAATTTTCTCCAATGTCATTAAAGGTTGCGGTCGGTCATTGTGGCTGCATTTTGTCTTGACTGTGTAGCAGAGCTAGCCGTGACGACTTCTCGTTTGCGCGCAGGTTTCTGATGGGTGCCTCGTGCGGGGGAGGCAACATGAAGGTGGACGACGCCGTCTACGAGGCGATGGGGCTGCGCCCGCGGCACGCCTACTCCGTGCTTGACGTGCAGGACTACGACGGCATCAGGTGCGTCGCGACGCGCGAGCTATTGATCGGCTGCTGCGCTTTACACGCGTCGGCAACGATAACGCAACATGGAGGATGGGGGAGGGGGGTCATTTTCGGGGCTGTGGGATTGGACCATTTTAATTATCTGGAAACCGGGAAATGCCAGGTAGATACGGGGTCTGCCATGTCTGTGCTCGATTCGTACCAGTTCCATGGGGCTCGGTAAAAGCATCATAAAAACGGGATCACGTTGATGCTATGCAATTACTTGGTAGCGATGCGCAATAAAATTAAATTAAATCAATTACCAGGTTATGTAATATATGGTTATGTAATATATACAACTGGTTGCATAGCCAGCTGTAGAAACTGGTATGTGCCTACATGATAATTCATTGCTATGATGTCAATTGCATCTATGCCATATAAATAGAAAATGATGAATTAAATTGATCAATAAACTCACATTTCAAATATTCACAGGTTGATAGCCATTGTTTTTATGGTCTAATTTGTGGTCTTTTTATGTAGAAAGAGAGATAATGCACCGAACAACACTGTAGTATTAGAATTTGGTTTGCACTGGTAACAAAGAATACTGAATGATTAATGCACTCATCATAATAGCAGCCATTGTATTTTCCTAGGTTGCTGCGTTTACGCAACCCGTGGGGAAGGTACTCGTGGCGGGGTGACTGGGCCGATGACTCGCCACTATGGACGCCTGAACTCAGAGAAAGGTTTATGGTGCACGGTGCCAGTGAAGGAATATTCTGGATGTCGTATGTGGACTTCATGAGGTAATTAATGCCTAATAGCAGTAGACTTATTTATTGCTGTAGCCAACATGTGGCACTAATATCTGGTATATTGTAGAAGTATTAGGGGAATCTCGCATGCAACACAGCTTACGCTATACCTGATGAAATACTTAGCTGATTGCTTTTGGGAATGTCAGTTTGGCCTGTGGACTAGAGTTGCTGTTAGTTGCAAGCGTTACTTGAATATTCTTGTCTGAACAGAGCAAGCTGAGAAATTTTGCAATGATTTAATTAATTAACCTCATGGCACCTAAAATTGGTTTTCTGCATAATCTGCTGCACATTTTGTTGCAAAAAACCTATTTTAATCTAATATTTATAAAATCTTGTGTTCATAAATGTGTTGCTGGGCTGAATGCTACATAGCCCTTCTGTTGCATATATTCCATGTATTTTACAGCTACTTCGACAGCATCGACATCTGTAAGGTGTCGCGCAACTGGAATGAAGTGCGCCTCCAGGGGGCTCTGCCTCCCCATGCTGGCCGTCCCCACCAGGTTACGCAACTGACCGTGCTGGAACCAACTGAGGTGGAACTGACTCTGTTTCAGGAAGGAAATAGGTATCTTTCCCCTGCAATATTGAGGATTTCCCGGTAGTGTTTTATAAAACGCCTTGCGTCATTATAGACGTAAAGTAGGGATTGCTTGTTGGTAATATGTTGTTGTGGCAGTGAGGTCTGAGATATAGGATAGAAGTACAAAAAAACAAATACGCATGCCACTAAATATAAGTCAGAAAATAGACCTATGATTAGACTTCCTGAATTCTAGTTCAAAAATGAAACATAAAAAAAGTTTAAAAAATTGAATTGACATCTTAGTTTTCAGATAAGATATAGATATTTCATAATATTGAAGATTATTCTTTGTATGTGACCAATCTTATAATTATTTTTGTTGCTACAAAGGAGACATAATGTGTAAAAAAAACATTTCTGTATGGATTAGTTAATTTCAATATTACATCTACTCTGAAATCATCGACAAAATATAGATCTTCATGGTTCACCAGCGCAAATTTGTCAGTTGCTAAGCAACAGAAACTAATTAGGTAAAAAGGATCCATTTTCAGAGCACTATAAGCTTAACAACATATATATGACAAGTCTGTTCTCAAACCAATATTATACCTCCGGTTTCTCTCTGGCTGTGTAATCTTTGACATTTACGGAAATCTTTTAGCTATTGTAATGTGCTTAGCTTAGAAAAAACGAGCCAGGGCATTGTTTCATTGTAGATCTACAATAAAAGCACAGGATGCTTAAAATCTCATGTAGTAAAATGCAAACGTAGTTGGCTGTTGTTACATTGCAAACCCAGCCGTGTGTAATCTCACAGAGAAAATGCGAAAGACATTCATCCGTTCGCCTCTTGCCTTAGAACGTGGAAACGCTCCGACCGTTGCCAACTGGACCTGTGCATTCTGGTGTTTCGCGCTGCCGCCGGTGGCCACTTGGGGGCGCTTGTGATGCACAGTAAGCGGCAGGTGCGAGGGTTTGTCGAATGCTCTGGCATGCTGGAGCCAGGAGCCTACACGGCTGTGTGTGTCGCCTACAATCACTGGCACACGGGTGAGTAATTCGCGTTTGACCTGTCATTGTATGCGAGAATCGCTGTGGGGAAAATCGAATCGATCGGATGCGTTCATCTTGATCGATTTCAGCTCGATAGTTTTCGTTGCTGGTGAATTGATTGCGGATTAATTTGTGTAAGTAGAAGAGAAGCTAATTATTGCCAAAAAACGTGGGGCATGCATATGGAATAGTTTACATCATTGTGTTACATAGTTATTTGTGCAGCTTGCACCTCATTTGTCATACCTGCATGTTCTGTGATTGAACAGATTAGGGTACAGAATTTTTCTAAAATTGCTAGTGGTCATTTTTAGGCTCAGGGAATCCGGACACATTTCCCAAATATGTGCTGGCCATACATAGTTCCAAAAGAGTATTAGTGGAACAACAGAAACCTCCATCAAGCTTCCTGGCCGATGCTATAGTTCAGCTGACGGTCACCAGAGGGCAGCGCCATGAGGTAGACACATTTCTTCAGTTGTTTTTTATTCCTTAAGAGTTTAGGGCTCACTTAACATATTTCTGTCTCGTTTTAAGCGTCATTCACCATTATATTAGCCATTGCATTAGGTGACATTTTTATGAGTTATTTTATTAGCGTAATTCCCTCATATCACTAGCCTTTATAAAGTTGGGAATAATTCTTTTCTATCAGCCCTGGATTTCATATGTATGTTTTCATCACGATAGGGTCGGCAGGGCATGACAGCATACTACCTAACGCAGGGATGGGCAGGTCTAGTTGTTGTCATAGAGAACAGACATCCTGACCGCTGCCTACAGGTCGTCTGCGACTGTTCCGAGAGCTATAATGTTGTGTCGACACGGGGATGCCTGAGGACAGTAGATTGCATACCACCGCTGCACAGGTGAGGCTTCTAATTACCGACTGCTTAATTAGTATATCCTGCTGGCAGCATCAATTGTCACAGTTGTCTATCAGACTAGTACAGAGAGAAAGAGAGCGAGAGACAGAAAGAAGAGAGACGAGAGAAAGGGAGGGAGAGAGGGTGGGATGGGAGAGAGAGAGAGAGAGAGAGAGAGAGAGAGAGAGAGAGAGAGAGAACAGGCGAGAGAGCAGAGAGAGAGTGAGAAGAGAGATGAGCAAGACAGCGAGAAGAGAGAGAGAAGAGAGAAGAGAGAGAAGAGAGAGAGGAAGAGAGAGAAGAGACGTAAGAACAGTGAGAGAAGATGAGAGAGAGAGAGAGAGAGAGAGAGAGAGCGAGAGAGAAAGAGAGAGAGAGGAGAGAGACAGAGAGAGAGACAGCGAGAGAGAGAGAGAGAGAGAAGAGAGCAGCGAGGAGAGAGAGAGAAAGAGAAGAGAGAGAGAGAGAGAGAGAGGAGAGAGAGAGAAGAGACAGTGAAGAGAAGAGAGAGAGAGAGAGAGAGAGAGAGAGAGAGACAGAAGACAGAGACAGAGACAGAGACAGAGACAGAGGCAGAGAGAGAGAGAGAGCACTGTCAATGTACAAACAAAAGTTGATGTACTTCTGATACTATCATGACTGACATGAGATAACTAACACTTGGCCTTTGTACATAGACAAGTGCTGCAAGTTGTATCACAGCTAGAGGGCACTGGTGGCTTTACAATCAGCCATCGACTCACCCATCGGTTGTCATTCGGCGGCGGTCTAGGAGAGTGGGGTCCCAGAGGTGCCAACCATGTTCCGAATCTCAGCTCAGCAGTGTTTGGCCTACACACACCAAGACCTCTATGACATTGGCTGTCTTCTAGGAAATATGTCTGCAGGGCTTGATACAGCGCTTTATTTTTCAATTCGTACTGCACTGTACAATGAGGCAAATCTCATAATGATAATGTTAGATTGCATGAACAGTGTTGACTTTGTATGTTAGCAGCTTTACACTGAAGCCATTCACCTGCTCGAATTGTTCAGTTTACTTTTTGATGTGGAAGCTTACACAATCAGGAATAACGGCCATTGAGAAATTGCATACACAGCATTTAAATATATAATAATTTATTTGTTTACAGTAGCAAAAATACCACATTTATGTTTCAGTGCTGCTCACTAATCTATGCAGACACAATTTTGCCAAATCTCCGATTCCATATAAATAGTGAGCAAGGCCAGATTTGTGTTATTGTGCACTGTAATGGAAGAATCCACTTAACAGGCCCTAAATAGCATCTAGTAATATCTATTAAATCGTATAATTCGTCTCGGTAATGAGCATTTGTAGACTATTTTAATACGACTACATGCTTAGAAGTTTAAAAGTGTACATATTTTAGAGAAACACTTGTTTGAGCAGATATTAATGTACGATCAGATTAAGTAGCTCAAATACACTGTGTTAACGTGTGAATAGTGCCTAGAGGGACGTCAACTATTGTCTTGTGCATCATTTGGATCAATGTCTCATTGTCTGTCAATGTATGTGTTTAATATCAGAATGTGATATCCCACCAGTAATTACAGATGCGTGCACAGTGTTGCGTTGAGATATTCGAGCTAAAGATCTAATTTCACATCTTCTAAACATCTACTTGTTATTGATGTGGCTAAATGAAATGTAGCTCTTCTTTCGTCTGTTCGATTAAATGTAAACTAATTCATGCGAGAATTCACTCTACATGCTCGACTAGGGATATACATAACTGCGTATCTAGTTTAAATTAATATAACACTGCCTATAGTTGCTCAGGCATCACTTACTGTGCTGCACGTACATGTGCTTAGAAAGGCTAGCTAATACCATGAACCATTTTCACGTGAACATGGCGGTGCTATATGGCGAGGAAGGACCATTCTGACATTGTGATTGAACCCAGATGTACAGCTGTGGTCGCTATACAGACGCAGGTAGTTTTTTATCGGGAGTGTTGGCGTGTAACTCGTAACGTAAGTCTGTAAATAATGGCACCGCATCCGAATCTAGTCTAGATTGCACGAAATCATCACAGAATTTAACTATGTTTTATCAACATCAGTATCATCTGATAACGTTTACCCAAGTGAACTTTAAAAAAATTGATGCAATAGTTTTAGTGTTGGAAGGCGCAATTTCTGACCCATAACCTGACGAGTGGTTTTTGCTGTCATACGATGGCAATTGGGCTAGCAGGCTATACCTTCACCAAGCTTCAGTTGTGCAGATATTCGGCTCGGAATCGCGTGATAATAGTACACTGCGGTGAATGTCATTAGTTGCTGCTTCTGTGACTGCCTAATAGTTATCACTGGTCCACCTGTTGCAACCATGACTACAAGCCATCACACCTGCAGGCCATGAAACTCACATGGCACGGCACTATAAATATGTTGTATCCATGTAACAACCGACAAAATTATTTAATAGTTGATAACCACAAGTAAATTATTACTTGGTATATAGTTTAATACAAGCTAAATTAAGACAATACAAAGCAACGTTCACAATCTTTGGCTAATAGGAGTACGTTCATCTAGTTGCAAGTGTAGACTCGTATAGACATAACGATATGTATAAACAAGTAATTATATACATTACTTGGCACTTTTATGTTCTATGATCATATTCAAATAATCTACAGTTGCAATTTTGATGACAGAATAAAAATGGAATTTATTTTTTTGATAATTTCTCACGTTCATCTCCATTATATCTACCTGGTGTCGTGTATATGTATGTACATTATTTTCCACAAAGCAAACATCATAATTATTTACATCTTGTCGTTAAATATAACCTTATTCTCTAACTGCATGCTGCCCACTTGGCAAAATATGTAGAAATATGGAGGGCAAATTCGTGACATTGATGTATTATAACAACAACAGCTCGCAACCATGTTGACACCACCACTGACAGATCATATAGTGCAAGTCCATATGGATAGCTTATATATAGCTATCGTATATATAATAACCTACTAATTCAGTGCAGGGTCTTTATAACTGGTTAACATTTTCAATCATTTTCTATCTAAACTGATGATGCTAAACCTTTCTCACATGGCGTGATCATCCATAGTTGTACTACTACTATTTCATAGCAATGTAAGATGATGGAATGCTAGAGGTTTATAGGATTACATGTCAGGAATCACACATCCAGTTATATTTGTTGGTTAGCTAAACAAAAACGTGCATGTAAACTTTTATTGTCCTGTTGGCAATGCAATTTTTTACCTCAAGGAGGGTTTTTAACAGTTGCTTCAGAGTCATCAACTTTTCTTAGTAGTTGAGGAGTTTCTAAATTTATCTTGTTTCACTCGCAGGAAAGTGATGACATCAGGGGACAGGAGTAGAGACTAAAAATAAAAATAAAACATTGCATAACTACACAAGCACATATTCAGCAATAATAATGTTCCATATTGTACAAGTATTTACATCGGGTGTGAATAAAAAACAACTTTTAGAGGATACAAGGTTAGTGCATACATTCAAAATAAAACATTGTTTTTAGTCATTCATGATTTATATATATATATATATATATCAGGGCTTGATTTCCCTATTGCTAACTCACAAAATGTGTGTCGATATTTGAGAAATTGTGAGTAGAAATATACAGCACTTGCTATTTTGGCAAGTGGAAATTTAAGGCGACATACTGCAAAATATATAAGAAGGCAAGAAACAACAATCACA